CTAACTCTCGCTTCATGTCAGGCGTCGCAGGCCAGCAGGCTGCGCCGAGCACTGCCCGGGGGAGCGCCGCGGAACGGAACGGCCAGGGCCTCGAGTGCCGGGGTCTGCACGCATTTGCAAATGCGTCCGCGAGCGCGAAACAACTTCCTCCACGCAGACGGCAGCCCGCAACATTCACGAGCTGAAATCACGCCTGGCAGCGCGCGTTCCAGGCCGGCCGTGCACCACGCGCCAAAATCACGGCAGCCCATAGACAGGCAAACGCGCGGGATCATCGTTCGGGGGGAAGAAGGGCGCGCGAAAGCAGAGAGGGGCGCGCGACGAGCGGGGGCGAGGTGCCAAGGAAAAGAAATCAAGGGAGAGGGGGGGGGGGGGGGGCGACGAGAAGGGGTGACGGAGGACGCGCGAGCGGGGGCTGCCTGCGAGGGCGCCTGCGAATTTGCCCTGGACTCAGTTCTCAGCGCGCGGCGAAACGATTCGTGCTTCGCTCGCCCCTCCAACCAAGTCCCGCGCGTTCTCCGCGAACTCTGCGCCGCCCGGGTGAGCGGCGCAGTCGGTCCACCGTGCGGTCGGGCAACCGACGCGGCCCCTCGTGCTCCGAGCCCGGCCAGGGCTCCGCAATGACGCCTTGCATGACAAGTTGGGCATTTCCGTGGACAAGAGCATCCCAGCAAGTTCTTATTCTCTGGATGTCTCTTGCTATTCGTTGAATCCACTCTGCCCGCGTCTCCAAATCTTCCCTTGGACTTCGCAATCAGAGGCTGAGCTGCACGGGGCCCCGCGGTGGGGGCCCCGACGCTCTCTCCGCGCGCTGGAACCCAGCGCTGGTCGCCACGCGGCGTTGAACTTTCACTAACTGTCGCTTCATGTCAGGCGTCGCAGGCCAGCAGGCTGCGCCGAACTTTGCCCGGGGGGGCACCGCGGAACCGAACGGCCAGAGCCTCGGGCGCTGGGGCCTGCACGCATTTGCAAATGTGTCCGCGAGCACGAAACACATCCTCCGCAAAATTCACGATCTGAAATCACGCCTGGTAACGTGCGTCCCAGGCCGGCTGCGTGTACTACGTTACACAATCACATCGTCTGCACCGAAAAAGTGGTTAGCCATTCGCCATCCAGCAAGAACAAAAACCACCCGCCGTCGACGATGCGATCAATGGCAAGAGGAACATGTATATATATATATATATAACAACAAAAACCTTAGACTGCGTTGGTAGGCACACACACACACCCGCCCGGAGGGGGTTCCCTGCTTTGGCCTCTCCTAACGCAGGGCTCGCAACTTGTCCCGTCGAACCGATCCATTCCACTCCGCGTGGGATAATATTTCTGCAGAAGGGCAACGTGCGCCTGCGGCGCACAACGGCATAGCACCGCCGCCCAAATGCTGTCATGCGGTAGGCTGTCACATGCCTTCTGGAAGTCCAAAGTGGCAGCCCAAAGAGCCCTGCCCCACTAATCACATGATGATGTAGCAACGCGCGTGCGAACATCTGATTCTCGATGCTGCGATGTGTGCGGGCCCGCGCCTTGTCAGCGCATTGCGCCGTGTTGAACATTAGCGCCATGCGGTGTCGGAGCAGCCGGATGAAAAGCTTGTACCACAGCGGTACGATTCTTATCAGGCGATAATTTCAAGGTAAGCGTGGGTCACAGCTCTTGAACAAAAAATACTATTCAAAAATTCCTCCACGCCTTTAACGTTTGGGCGTTCGGGTCAACAATATCACTGAACAGACCCGGGAACATCTTGACTAGGTCCTCGGCGCCGTCTTTCAGCATCTCACTCTTGATGCCCGCGCGGCTCATCACCTTCCCCTTCTTCAGCGCCTTGATTTCATTTCGTGCCTCCGAACATTTGGAAAAAAGTGTCAATGTCCGCTCGCCCGCTGTTGTCTCCGATAATAACTGTGACCCGGTTGCCCGGTATAGCTGCCCGTAGGAGTCGGCAAAAAACACAGCATCACTTGCTTGCCTTTTTTTCCCGACGGGCGTACCCAGCATTATCGCCTTCTTCCGTGATCCGAAACTTCTGTCTTGTCGACATCGCCTTCTGAATATGTTTGATCTTGTTGACCTCGATCACACCATGCCAGCTCGCTGTCATTGATCCTGATTTTGCTACTCAGGAGTTTCCAACTTGATGTTCCTGCTGCGGGCTGTTCTTTCAGACGCACGCTGCGGAGACAGTGTTGTCCAATCTGACGTCAACTTGCCCAGCGAATCGTGAGTGCGCGCATCCCTGACCTTCTCGTGCGGCGATGGCGCTGCTTCTTCGGCTGCATCCTGGAGCACGGCTTCCAACTCACTGCACCTGTCGTCCACGTTGCCACGCTGCAGCGCCAATCACTAATTCTCTACATGAGGTGGCTCGTGAAAACAAATTGGTGATACCAATGGTCTGCTGCCATGCAACTTGCTGGCCCCACTTCCCGTGTCAACAACATGGACCACCCGGAATGTAGCCCGAACGCCACGGTGGTCTGACCCAAGGCTCGGGGATCAGTCATGCCATCATCACTGGACTACACCTTGCTTGTTGGAACGCCAGCGGCGCCACTGAAGCCACCGAGTGTGGGCGGAGGGATCGGCCCCCTGGCAGCTCTGCGCTTCCCCAAGAATCCCACCGGATTGCCACCAGACGGCCAAAGGGCCCACGACGCCTCCACAACGGCCCCGAGGAGACACCCAAGAACAGACGACAACCGAATGTGGCCCGAAGGCGCCTCCGAAAACGTGGCCCGGGAGGGCCTCGCGACACTCCCGTGAGAGCCAAAAACATTTGAAACAAGTGTGTCTTCAATGCTGGTTGCCAGTCCTACGTTTGGCTCCAAAAAATTCCAAAGTCCCTGGATCAGCCCTCAGGTAGCCCCAGAAGGCTCACACATGCCACCCGAATCGCCCAGGATGGCCAAAAAATGGGTCACAAATGCCAAACGATGGCCCCAACATGGCCCGAACATGTACCCAACCTCGAGATGCAAATAGACGGCAACGAGGGCCTAAACACGGCTCCAATATAAGCGCACTGTCGCTCTTCACGGAGTGCCCACGAAAGAGGGCGCAACCTTTCTAATCAAATGGCTGCATGCCATGCATGCGAGCAGGAATTGAAAAGTGACCGTCTCACAATTGAATCAACCGTGAATGTGCACGCGCGCCCGCTCTCCGATAATGCTTCCCCACCCTTCGCTGCCAGTCACGCAGGCAAGAGCTGATTCTCGCTGCCTAGGCGCGCAGCCGAGGACAACACACCCTCCCCCTGCAGTGGCTGTCGCCATAGCGCCAAAGCCCGCCACCGCACGTCAATCGCCAGTATGTCTGCGCATGAACTTATACCGAGTTGCTAGAAATGCCTATGGCCCAAAGGGCCCCAGGATGTCCGAGGAGGCCCCCACGGCCTCCAGAGCACCCCTAACGAGGTCCAGAGAGCCCCAAGGGCTCCAGAATGGAGCGCAGACCTGGGGGCACCTTTGGCCACAACCACCTCTGGCAACCCTCGATTTTGGACGACCGAAATGGTTACGGGAAAAATGGGTACGATACTCAACAGCAAGGGTTATCCAAAAACGACCGCGGCCGTTGTCGGGTATGCGGCCGCTGTCTCAATTGGACAACGGCCCACGGCGGCATGGATAGCGAACCCTGTTCAAAATGAACTACTGTCGGTCTTCGTATCCAGTCGTTCCATACCAATTTCGATCGTACCGAACCTTTGGCAACCCCCAGGGTTATATCAGAGTGGGGAGGCTTGCCGGCCTGGCCCTGCCCCTGCGCACGCGTGGGTGGAAGGGAGCGGGTCACGGAGAGGGGGGGCGGACAAGGCGCGCAGGCGGGAGGGACTGAGAGTGGGGGCGAGGGGCGCGCGGAGAGCGGTTTCGCCTCCCTTACGCTTACCCGCGCAAGAGGGGGGGGGCACCAGAGAGGGGGGGTACACCTGTGCAGACATCTAAGCTAAACAAATCCGTTATGACAGACTGGCGTCCTCGATATCGCGGGCGCCAAACCAAAAAACGAGGTTTCAAAGAACATATGGAGTTGCCCACGAGTATGCTAACTAGCGTTGGCTCCAAGCAATGTGTTTCTAGCAGTATGTGATGCGCAATCGATGTAGAACAATGCATGTCGTGAACTATCAGCGGCTCAACACAAGTTGTGAAATCTATGTTGTGCACTCTGTGCTGTACAATACAGGTGGTGCAATCTATGTGATGCAATCTGCGTGGCGCAATCAATGTGGAGCGGAGCATATGCGGTGCAATCGCCCTGGTGTAATCTAAGTGGTGCAACTTATGGTGTGCGATCTAGGTAGTGCAACATATATGGTGCAATAGATGTTGTGCAATCTCTGCTGCCCAATCTATGCGGTGTAATGTGTGATGTGCTATCGACTTGGTGCAATACATGGGGCGGGAATTATTTGCAGTGTAAGATCTGTGGGGCACTCTACTTGTGCAATATTTGTTGTGCCATATATGCAATGCGATCGATGTGGTGCAGTGCATTCGGTGCAATCTACGCTGTTCAATATAGTAATAGCCGGCATAAAACAACAGCACAGCCGCCAGACCGACAATCAAGCCCAAACGACGGGCGGCGACGAGGCGGCGACCGCGGCCACATAGCCGCCAGGCCGACGGTCGGGCCCAGACGACGGACGGCGACGAGGTGGCGACGGCGGCCACACAGCCGCAAGGCCGACCGTCGGGCCCAAGACCATTCAAGAGAAGTAAGAAACCCTACGTGCAGGCACAGCTTGACGGAATGTACAGCTATGCGGACGTCCAAGCACAGATGTGACGACATATTGGCGTCCTCAATATAATCGGCGGCAACGTGCGTGTCCGCGGGTATACCCGACACCGCTTCCCGCATACATTCAGCCCCGCCGGGCCCCAACATGGAACAATTGTGGTTTGGGTTCGATCGCCGATCTCGGAATCGTCCATCCATCGCCCCACCTCATGTACGAATGCTGTGCGCAGGCTGGGGCTGACCAATGCCGACGTCGACATGGATTGGCTCAAACCACTCCAGCGGCAGAAACTCGAAGCGGCCTTGAATCGCAGCCCCCTCCTGGCGAGGCAAAGGAGCATGAGCGAGGAGGGAGGAAGTGGACGAGGCAATACACCAAGGACCGAGGAACAAAAATCTTCAAAGGCGAGGAGGGATCACGATTCCTGTGGACGCATCCTTGGTTAGGGAGGAGGGAACTGAGGAGTTTGAATCGGCATACGCGAGGGGGGGGATGGGGTAGGGAAGGGGAAATGTGGAAGGGTAAGGCGAAGGCGAGGGGCAGTGAACGAGGGAACATACGAAGGAGAAGGGAGAAGATGAAGGGAGGAGGAAGGGGAGGAGGGTTGGACGAGGGCAGAACGGAAGGGGAGGAGGGAGGAGCAGCGAGGAGGAAGGACGGAGGAGAAGGAGAGGGGGGGGGGGAGGACGACGTTGATGCGGCGGCACTGGGAGGGTGAGGACGACGAGTCGGCGGAGGAAAAGGAAGAGGGCAGGAGGAGGAGGGGTGGGAGGGGAGAGACAAAGGCTAGAGGTGGGAGGATACAGCAAGGAACATGGAACGTGGAGGGCGGTAAAAAGCAGGAGAAGGGCCCACAGTTCGAGCAACACCTCCGTCCCTCCTCCTCCTTCTCCTCCTCCTCCTCATCCTCCTCCTCACCTTTACCAGAACCAGCATCGTCGTCATCGTAATCCTCCACCTCCTCCCCCTCTTTCGACCCATCCAAACTCATTCTGCCCCACCGCTATCTATGTTTGCTCGGTCGCTCTCGCTGGCACAAACAACTGCCCCAATAATGAAAATACATAAGACGCCAAAAACATCGGACCCATCGCCCTTACAATTTAGGTGGGGAGCGCAGTTCCTGGCCATCACAGGTCTACCATACTGCTGCTCCGCTTTTTTTGGGCGTGGCTTAAATGGGGGGTTCATAAGTGGGGGGATCAGAAACGGTCCCCCTTCGTGCCCCTTTCGGACCCCTCTGGAGCCCCAGGGGGCTCCGTTGGGTACCGTTTGGGTACCTTTTCGGACCCCCCCCTTTTATGACCCCCCCCATTACGCAACGCCCATTTCCGGTGCCCTCCGCTACCGCCTCCTTCTGCTCCTCCTCATCCTCTCGCGTCCTCTCTCGTCCGCTGCCTGCGCGTGGCGCCCCCCGCGGTGGGTACGCTGGCACTCTTTGCGGTACGCTCGCAGGGCGAGGGTGACAAGGAGGGAGAATGACAGGAAGAGAGAGAGAGAGAGAGAGGAGAGAGGGACGGATAGAGAGAGAGAGAGAGAGACAGCGCAGGCCACAAAGGGGAGGAACGGATAAAGCGACGCAGAGGGGGTGGAGAGAGAGAAAGAGACTGACTGATGAAGAGAGGGCGGAACTGCGAACGATAACGGGGTTGAACCTTGGGGCAGACACCGAGACCGAAAGGAAGAGAGACTAAGAGACTGAACGCTGAGAGCGTGTAAGTCAAGGTGGGCGGGGGCGAGGTGGAGGGGGATAGCGAGCGCGATTGAAAACCTGTACACATACACGTACACAGTTATATATAATGTGTATATATATATGTATATGATTATCTACATACTGGAACCACACGCGCGCTTCGCGCGCTTAGGTTATCCCCGACTCGTCCCCCAAGTTGACCTCCATGTCTCCTCTAAACCCACCCACAGAATACCCCTCCCGTCCCCCTTCCTCCTCATCCCCCCTCTCCGCTCCTGAGCTCCGTTCACTTCCCCCTTCCGTTTCCTCCTCCTCCTCCAGATCGCGTAAAGTCCACGCGAGCTGGATCCCGCACCGTAGTTGTCTTCCATCGACCAGCGTGTGTTCGAACTTTCCTCTGCACAATCATACACGGATTTGTTCCCACTCCTTGAGCTGGGCCGTTTAAAGTTCCCAGCGCCGCAAGTCACACTCCTCTCGTCTCCTCTCTCTGCTTTCCCTCACTATGCAGTCCGCATGTCCGTTTCGGCGCACCCTTCACCGGGAGTGAGTCCCCGCCCGATTTCGACACATCCCTCACGCGTCGGGCCCTCGAGGGAGCTGCACCGAAGGCTTCAGTGACAGGATTTGCATGGTAACCCTCCCAATTTCGGCACACTCCTCAATTCTTTCATGTCCCCATGGGAGCTACCCCCACTGTACCCGTGGCAGTGTTCGCATGGTTACGCGGCCCAGTTCGGCGCCTGTTCGAAGCCTTTCAAGGGGCTGGACGGGGTATCTTTGAGGTCTCTGGGAGTTCTTACCCGCCAGAATGTTCCCCGATGCCCCTCTTGGCCCCCTCTTGAGACTCTCTCGGTCCCCTCTTGGGGGTCTCTTGGGGCCCTCTTCGGTCGTCTTGGGAGCCTCTTGGGCCTTCTTGGGCCGTATGGGGCCCTGTTGGGACGTCTTTGGGCGATCTGGGAAGCCGTTGAAGACGTTTTGAGCTGCCGGAGGCTCGAAGCACCGAGAACGCTATAATCCTTCAGAACCCTTGGAACATCAATGTGATTTGCTTGTTCAGGACCTGTTGAGGATGCTAATTTGGCTGTCTTGGAATGCATTGGGGGCCATATTGAAGCCATCGAGGGCCATCTTAGAGCGCTGTAGAGCCGTTTGGGGCACCCCTTGGCGGTCTTGGGGGACTCTTGGCGCTGGCATGAGGCGGTCCACGGTCGTGTTCACCCATCTCGGGGCCGAAAGCGCCCCCTCGAGTCCTGAAAAGGGCCCGCCCGGCGGTGCCCTAGGTGGAAGGAGGGGGGGGCATCGAGGCATTGAGGGAGCCTCAAGGCCCTACCCGCTCAGACAGCTCCGACTCGCCTCCGAGTCACCAGAGAATCACATCCGAACGCCCGTGTTCGCCTCCAGATGGCCCACCACGCTCCCAAGGCGCTCCACGCAGGCTTCTCTACTGCCCAGAACGCTCCCCAGACGTTCCAAGAGGGTCCGTTGGTCTTCGGTTGTGTCTGGTGGATTCCGCCTTTTCGGCCTGCTGATGCTCCACAACAGTCCAAGAAGGACCAAAGCTCGCCACAAGACGGTTTCAGAGGCTCCATCCAAAAGGCACCAAGTAAGCAACAAAAAAACTTCCAGGACAGCCCCAAAAGGCACCGAATCGCTAAAACATCACCGCCAGACGCTTATCACGCCTTCCAGGTGGCCTCACCACTGACGACGACGACGACGACGCGCGAAAGAAGCATTGTCAGGCGGGCGAGCGGGACGGCGTCGGTGATCGGCAGGCGTGTCTCAGGGCGTCTGGGGGGAAGCTCTGGGGGGCATCTTGGGGGCCTCCTGGGGCTTCCTGGGGGCCTCTTGGGGACTTCTGGGGGCCTCTCGGGGGCCTCTCGGGGGCCTCTTGGGGCCTCGTGGGGGCCTCTAGAGGCGGAGAGCTCGAAATGTCGGTTCTTGTTCCCCCTCTGGGGTCCCTCTTGAGGGTTCTTGGGGCCCTCTTGTGCTGCCTTGGAGGCCTCTTGGGCAGTCTTGGGGGCATCTTGGGCCGTCTCGGCGCCCTGTTGGGGGCCTCTGAGGCTGTGTTAGGGCGATATGTTGGGTCTCTGGGACCGCCTTGGAGCGTCGGAAAGCCGAAAGACAGAAACGCAAAAATCCATCAAACACTACAGGCCAGTCAAGGGGCCCTTTAGGGAGTGCATTTGGAGACCCTTGGGCCATGTTGAAAGCCTTTTGGGCCGTCTGGAGGCCATCTTGGGCATTTTAGAAAAAAAAATCGCCGACTATGAGCCCTCTGGGAGGCCTCTTGGGATGCTCTCCATATGTTTCGGGGCTGCCTTGGGCAATCTGGGGGCGTCCCTGGCGGCCCGGTCCCCCCATGCGCTGTCGGGGGCCCCGTCCCGGCCCCCTCCCCCCGTTTCGTGCCCAGTGATATATGTGCATATCTATATCTATATATATATACACACATATACTAGAACCATCGCGCACGCTTCGCGCGCGCTCGCGCGCTTCGCGCGCGCTCAGGTTCTAGCAGGCCCCAGGCCTTGCCGAAGTCACTGCTCCACTGAAGTAGTGGACCACCGTCCACGCATGCCAATCTGCATTACGAAAGGCCTTCGAGAAAAATGGTTGTGTAGGGGGGCGGAGGCCGTATGAATCGGGTTCCCAGAAGGCCTTCTGGGAGCATGGGTTCGGGAGCGTCTTGGGGAGCCTGTTGGGGCCTGCCGTCGTCGTCGTCGTCGTCGTCGTCGTCGTCGTCGTCGTCGTATTGTCGTCGTCGCCTATTGGGGCGCGCCGTCGTCGTCGTCGTCGTCGTCGTCGTCGTCGTCGTCGTCGTCGTCGTCGTCGTCGTCGGTTCAAGAGGGCACTTGGGGCAACTTTGTGCGAAACGATCTGCGGAGGGCCGCGAGAAGGCGATCAGTCATGTTCCCAAACAACTTCCCAGACAGCTCTCCTGTAGCAGATGGTACTTCGAAGCCTCCAAAGACTCGCGGGCCCATGATGAACCATGTCCCCAGAAGGCTTTCTGGGGACATGGTTTGTTGGGGTGTGTTGGGTGGCCTCTTGGGCGTTCCCTGGGAGCCCCTTGGGGCCTCTTGGGCGCCTCACGGGGCTTCGTGGGAGCCTCTTGGTGGCCTCCGGGGGCCTACAGGCGGCCTCTTGGGCCAGAGACCTTGAAATATCGGTTGGCGGTCCCCCTCTGGGCCCTCTCTTGGGAAGCTCTTGGGGCACAGTTGGGTTGTCTGGGGAGCCTCCTGGGTCGTCTTAGGGCCCTCTTCCGGGCCTCGTGGCCCGTCTTGGAGCGATCTGACGGGCCTCCGAGGCCGTGAGGAAGCGCTGGAAAGCGGGGAAAACGAGAACGCCAAAATCCAAAACACTCGGAAATCGAGTGAATCTTGCCTTCCAGGGCCCTCTTGGGGAGCCTCTTGAGTCCGTCCTGGAGCGTGTTGGATTCCTCGTCGGCTGTCTTCAGGGCATCTTGGGCGTCTTCGGGGCCTCGTGGGACCGTCTTGGGCCCTCTCGGGACTCCCTTAACCTATCGTGGCCTGCTTCGGGGCAGGCTCGGGCCGCCTCGGGAGCTCTGGACCCCCCCCGCAACCGCAACCCCCGGTGGACACCGATGGGGGAAACAGG